CTCGTCCTGAAATCTCACTCTCCCTCCTCTATCCTACCCTATCACCCTCGCTCCTCGCCCACCTGCGTTGGTTCTCTCGCCTCGGCGCGGTGAAGGCGGTGCCGGTCAGCTGTTCCGCGTACAGCCCGTACGGGCACACGCGCGGGTTGTTGCGCCCTGCGGGCAGCGCGCCGGGCAGCGCCTCGCTCTCGAATTGATTCCCGAAGCCCGCCAGGTACCGCAGCGCCGAGAACCGCGCCGCCAGCGCGTCATCCGGCGGCGCGTCTACCGCCGCCTTCCTCGCCGCCACCACCTGCGCGCCGCTCTCAGTCGAGTCGACGGCGCGCTTCGGTTGGAGGGGCGGCGGCTTGGTGTCGGGCGACATCAGCGCCGGCTTCGCCTTCTCCGAGGGCGGCGCGGCGCGTGCGATGGTCACCATCAGAGCGAGACACGCTGGGCCGAGAATCAGTGGGCTGACGCTAAGGTCGTTGAGCGGGCCACTAGTAGACAGGACTAGAATGTTACGCTAGCCACGACTTGTCACTTTCGCAACCAGCCACTGAGTACCGAAACCGACGGTAGAGGAGGATGAAGCAGCGGGGATAGTGGCGAAACTGACAACCACATGCAAGCAAAGCGAAATGAATTTGAGCCATCGCGGCTTCACAAAGCTGGCTGCACGGCATGGCACAAAGGAGGCTTGTACATTCGGTCCTGTTTGGTGACTCGAGGTTCAGAGCGGTAAGCACGCGAACCAGTTCTCAACTTGTTGCACCGTGCACCACCGCACACATCGCTTGGGGGACGAAGGGACACTGGGCCTAGAATGCGAGCAAGGAGGGAGGCGCCCCTACCGAGCCGAGAGAGGAAAGTGATTCGCGGGGATCTCGTGAAGCTGCGCCCACTTGCCCAGACTGACGCCAGGCAAGCCTGCCTCGGCCAGAAAAGAAGCTTGCGTGCCGAACCCACCAAAGAAGCTCGGCTCGGCTGCCACTATTGGTTGGCTTAGAAGCAGGGAGGTACGAGACTGTCACAAGCGTGGCTGACGAATCACGGAAGCTCGATTGGCTGTGGCTTATGTGGTTCCTTGACTCGCCAGCATGAGCTGGTTGGGCAGCCCTCCGCAGTGAGCTGGAACTTCGTCACTCCACACACAGATGCCAATCTGTGAGGCTCTCGAGAATGTAACCATTATGTTACGAACGAATATTTATGTTATTTGTATGGGACCAGCGTCAACTGTTTTGGCTCCAATGGCCGCGCGTTTGCCTGGAAGACAAAAGCAATTTAGTCAGCATCGCAGAAATTAATGACGACGTTTCAATTTTACGTTTCTCGCCTACGAAGACATTTGGCGACAGTGAGAAGAACGTCTCACTAGCTCCTTGGCATCATTACTGGGAGACAGATCTTCCACGCCAAGGTCATCGTGGTCTTAATGTCTTCTGCGTCACGCCTCAGCCTCCTCGTTCCAACTCCATCGATGAATCTGCAACAGAAATAACAGGAGCAGCATCAGCAGCGACAGCAGAAACATGTAAAGCTATATGGGCATGTGGAGACAGCAACTGGGGTTACGCTAATCAAGAACCAACCTCTGCTACAGTCGACGCACCTATAGAAGTTGATCATACATGGGGCAAGAAAGAGTTAATCGTACCTGATGATTGGGCGCGTCGTCGACATCTCGGCATACCTCGGGCTGAAATAGCAGAAGAAGCCGGAATCATCCAGCCTTTCGGCACCGGCCGCTGCGTCAACCTTGTGCCAACGACTTATCTTTCGCCGACCTCCTACCTTCACTCCGACTTCAAAAGGTTACAGGACTACAACGGAAACCTAACACAAGCGGTTAGGTCATCCCTCACAAGAAGCTCTTAACAATTTGTTTCAAGCCTCGGTTTTCGACAAGGTCACTCTCCTCTTAACCAACGGTCAAGAACCTAGCAGTCGCCAACTACCTTGCACCATCTGCCTCGGCACTCACCTACAGTAAGTCACGCTTCGTTCCCATCGCACTTCCCGAGTGCTACTAAGTACTCAACTATGGATGTCGTTTTCAGCGACATACTCTTCATGCCGCAGGAAGCAGAGGATATCAGCGGCAATGACTATCACTATATTTCCCTTCATCGACAGTGCTACTCGATATGTTTGGCAAAATAATATCTCTCAAAAGTCTGAAGCTCTCAACGCCTTCAAGCTATGGCTGAAAAGTGCGGAGCGGCAGAGCGGCATCAAGCTGAAAGAGATTTAGATAGACAACGTGGGCAAGTACACTAGCGAGCAGTTCAATGAATTCCTGGTGCGGAAAGGGATTCTGAAGTGCAAGACTGTGCCTTACGCCCATCAATATAACGGAGTATCTGAGAGGACGAACAGAACGCTGCAAGAGAAAATGCACGTGCCGCTGCAACAGTCCAGCTTGACAGCATATTCTTTGCCGTTTGCAATGGCACAAGCTGTCAGACTACACAACTGCCTGTCTTCAAATGCTCTACCTCAGTTAAGCTCGCCACATGTCATGTGGACAAAACACTTCGCCGATACTCGACTTTTACAACTTTGGGGCTACATGATCCAATACAGACCTCCGAGCGCAACTGTGGGCAGATGTACTCAACGGGCTCGATGGGGAATACACCTTGGTGTACCCAAGGGTTCCTATTCTTGGATGAGTATGGATTACAAAACCCGAAAGGTTTTGTATGCCCGAGACTACATCTTCTACGAGAAACTTTTTCTCGGTGACTTCGAACGCGACAAGGAACGCCAACAATGGGATCCGGATCGCTATAGTGCCGAACGGAGTTTCGCCACCCCTAAAGACGAAGCAGATGCACCCGACGAATATTATCCGCCCGACGGCGCAGCAGGAGGACCTTCTACAGTTCCGCAGCCGCCTATGTCAGCAGCTGAACCACTGTTCGACTCATAATATTCCTTTGACACGTGCCAACAACACAGCCACTCCAGTATTCATTCCCCTCTCGCACCCATTGCGTTCTGCCACAACACAAGCTGCTTATAATTATGAGGAGCATATGCGCCAACAGATAAATGATATTGCAATACATGACGGTGTTCGCTATCTACCATAAAAAAAATTTACGACGATGACGTCGCCGAAGTTTTCCAACAACATCCTCATGGTGACCAATCGGCTCTCCAGATCCTCGGCCTTGCTGTCGCAGTTCAGCAACCAACGGTTGGGATCGAGCCGAAAATAGTGAATCAGGCCCTCTCCAGCTTTGATGCTGACAAATGGCGAGCAGCTATGGATGCAGAGGTATCATCTCTCGAGAAACGGAACACGTGAAAACTCGTTCCACGCGAAGCAGCATGCAACAAGAAAAATCTTTTGGGCAAGTGGGTCTTTCGCATAAAGACAAATCCAGCAGGCGAACCAGACAGATTAAAGAGGAAATCGGTCATTCGAGGGTTCGAACAAGCCTATGGTATTGACTACGACCAGACGTTTGCTCGGGTCGGTTGCCAAACCTCAGTTTGAATTCTTCTCGCCATTGCTGCCAGCTGCCATCAGCCACTTCGTCAAATGGACATTGAAAATGTGTTTTTATACGCAGACGTTGATGCATATATTTTTGTCGAACTCCCTCACACTTGCAGCGACGGACTCCACATCTGCAAATTACTTAAAGCACTATACAGCATCAAACATGCTCCTCGCCTGTGGCAGCAACATCTTCACAAGGTTATGATTTCACTCGTCTTCGTGCAGCTGCCCAACGACCCTGGAATATACAGACTCGAATTTTGGGGGCATTACATTCTTCTATACACCGGCTCGTGCAACAGTCTTCTGGCGCGCATGGAGGAAAGAATCCAAACGATTCTTCAGGTTACTACGTCCCCAAACGTCACCCAATTCCTTGGGCTCAACGTCGACTGCGGCCCCGATGCCATTTACCTTTCTGCAAGCAAGTACGAAGAAACACTTGCGAAAAAGTTCGCCATTGCTCCCATCGACCTCACCACTCCTTTTCGTCACATTCTGACCGACCATACACCCAATACTACCGCACTTGTAGCCTTTGAGCATCAGCTTTACAAGCAGCAGCTCGGATGTCTTCTATTTGCAGCCGTTACATGCCGCGCAGATCTTGACTACATCACGAGTCAGCTCGCACAGTACCTGCGTCAACCTGAATGTTGGTTAGAGAAGGCTATAAGCAGATGATTCAATGGCTCATTGGAAATTTCTGCAGCACTTCATTATGACGCCCAGAAAACTCGCGACCTTCAAAAAGCTATATCCAAAACTCCAATCGGTGAAACGATCTGAAAATCAGAAATGTTGTAGCTTGCAGCGTCCGCTTTCCACTGAAAGTTGAATCACTCGATTCTGTAGCTTAACGATAGAGCTATGGCGTTTGGCGCACTGGGGGGTAATCTGCCCCAGGAGAAGTTGACACTCCTCAGAGTCACTATAATTGAAGCTTACAAGCTCAAAGGCATGATGGAAAAGGCATTGAAGCATAGTTGGAAGGTGGGGATGGAAGGGAAGGATGAAAGGGAAGGACCCTAGAGGCCCATGGTCAAGAACATGACAAGAGTCAAAGACTTGACTCCCCATCCTCAGGTTCAACCAGCCTGGCGAGACAAAATTCACACAGTGCCAGGTTGGCCTCCAACCCCCAAATGCTGCAGCTGCAAGGTGAGGACAAAAGTTCCACACATGCTGGTCCCTCCTCGTTATAGGGCTCTCCAACTTTGGTGTAGCAGCTGCCAAGGACTTCCAATGAGTTGTAACAAATCCATCAAACACATATTCGTAACTTCTTCATATGTGCTCCGATTCCAACAATTCTTGGCTCGTTGAAATGTGCTCGATTTCATGCACAATCCAAGCACATCTGCACAAGCACAAGATGAATATGCAAAGACATGCAAACCCAACAAACCACATAAACAATGTAGCACACAAAACACATGCAACAAAATGATGCGAACAGACGACAGGATGACGTGCAAACGAATATGCACCAACACACTCCCCCTCAGACTGTCGGCTTGTTTCGCCGTCTCTAGTTCAAGGACATTCCCACCATCCTTGCACAGCGCCAGTGTGGCTCTTCAGCTAGCCGCTTGGTAAGGAAGTCGGCTGGCTGTTGCTGAGTTTTCACGTAGATCGGATCCAGTGTCCCAAGCTTCACCTCCTTCCGCAGCCAATGCCACTTGATCCTCATGTGCTTGTTCAACCCATGAAGAACTGCATTGCGTGCCATGGCAATGGCTCCCTTACTGTCACTGAACAGAGGTGTCGCACAAGTCTGTTCATGGCCGATCTCCTTCAAGAGCCTCCTTAGCTAGATGATTTCTTTTGCCGCATGAAACATCGCCACGTACTCAGATTCCACTGAAGATAGTGTCGTCTCAGACTGCTTCTTGGACCTCCAACTTACAGGCCCACCTCCCAGCATGCAGATGTATCCACCTACTGATGATGAATCCTCATGTTCAGAAGCCCATGTGGCATCAGCAAAACAGGAAAGGAACACCTTTCCTTCTCCGAGCTGCTCCCCCTTCTCTTTGAGGACTTCAACTCCCTTTTGCCTGAATTGAGCAGAGGCTGAATACTGTACTCCCACTGTAGGGTATGACTTGAGGTAGCGCACCACTCTCTCCGCTGCACCATACTGCTCTTCTGTTGGATTTTGCACTACTCGAGCCAGCTGTCCCACAGCAAAGCTGATGTCAGGCCGAGTATGCACAGCAGCGTAGAGTAGGCTCCCGACCATGGATTGGAATTGCCTCTGGTCTTCACTCTCAACTCCTTCTCCTTCAGCTGCCTTTATGAGTTTGAACTCGGAAGGCAAAGGTGTGACCACTTCCCGTTCTTCCTGCAGAGAGTACTTCTCAGCCAAGGTGTTGATGTACTGTCCCTGATGCAGTTTGAGCCAGCCACGTTCAGTATCCCGCTCAATGTGCATTCCCAGGTAGTACCTTGCCTCTCCAAGTGACTTGCACTTGAACTGCTCTGTGAGCTTCTGCTGCACCCCATCGATCTCCTTGTCACTGCTGCTGAAGAGCAGGATGTCATCCACGTACACCAGCAGAAGCACAAGCGACTCCCCCTCGCTCATCAGGAATAGGCTCTCGTCGCATGCACTCGCACGGAATCCAATCCCTTCCAGTGCACTGGCCAGCCTGTTGTACCAGCATCTCGGGGCCTGCTTCAAGCCATAGATGGCCTTGTTAAGTTTGCAGACACGACCGGTTCCATTCTCATAGCCAGGTGGTTGAACCATGCACACCTCCTCTTCCACAATGCCGTACAGAAAAGCGGTTACGATGTCCATCTGCTTCACCTTCCATTTGCGCACAGCTGCTACCGCCAGCAGCACACGTAGCGTTGGAGACTTAGCAGTTGGGGCAAACACTTCTTTGTAATCTTCCTTCTCTTTCTGCTGAAACCCCTTTGCCACCAGCCTGCTCTTGTAAACTGATGGCTCTCCTTTCTCATCCGTCTTGATTTTTGCCAGCCACTTGCACTGTATTGCCTTCTTCCCATTTCGCAATTACACCAGGTCCCATGTGTGGTTCTCCATCTGGCTGTTGTACTCTGCATCTCTTGAAACGAGCCATTTCCCCCGTTGAGGCCTGGCTAGTGCATGATCCATGCTCGGAGGTTGTATTGGTGCATAAAAGCAGTATGCAGGCTCCTCGTCATCTGACTCTTGGTCATCACCCAAGAAGAGCACTACATCTTCGCCTTGAGCCTGTTGCTGCTGCTCAAATGTGGCTCCTCCACTTGTAGAGCTCAGCAGCTTTCTTGTTGCCATTCTGGTACGTGCAGGGTAGATGGTTGGATTTACCCATTCTTTCACCTTCACCCAATCCTTTGTCCCCCCACCAATCTGTTTCCTTCGCTTTGGCAGACTTGGTGTTTTGGAAGCCTCTTGCTGCTGCTGCTCCGGATCCTTGACTTCAGCATCAGCTGCAATATCCTCATTGCTTCCTTCATCAGTACCGCTTGCCGTTGGTGCAGTGACTTCGCTGTCCTCAGGTTCGGACACATCGAAGTGCATAGTGATCTCTTCCAGCTGCTGAGTGACCCTTGCCTCCGGCTGCTTCTCCCACTTGCCATACATGATGTTCTTCACAAATTTGACATCCCGACTGTCAAACAGCACATTCTTTGAGGGCTCCCAGAGAAGCCACCCCTTGCTCTCTGCCGCAAGCCCAAGGTGCATACACCACAGTGCAGATGCTCCAAGCTTTGTCCTGTACGGTTTTGGGACATGCGCCACTGCCATGCATCCGAACACTCTAAGCATGTCCACTGGAGGCTTCTTTCCAAGCCACCTCTCCAGCGGCACCCACATATCATCAGCCACCTTTGTGAGTACGCGGTTCCTTGCCACTGTAGCATGCCTCACCGCATGAGGCTGTAAGAAATAGAGTTGAAATGATTGATTAGGTAAGGAGCCCAAGGCTCTATAAGTACATGGCAAGGTGAGAGTGAATGGATGAAGGGGGAATTGGAGGGAATCCCCATTGGGATCTCCGGAATCTCCAATTGGGTAATTGGAGATTGGGGGGATCACAATTGGGTGAGGTTGGGATTTGTGAGTACACCCCAACCCACTAGAACTTCATAACCTAAACTAGGATATAAAAGTACAAATACAAAAGTGGTATTTGCATTCTATTTCTAACACACCCCCATAGACTGCAAACCCGATCAAAGAGCACATAGCCCCATGGAACGGAGAAGGCGATGGTGGTCAGCCTTGCCGAGAGCCTTGGTAAAGAGGTCGGCGAGGTTGCAATCTCAGGCGATGTACTGTACCGTCAGCTGGTCACTCTGAACAAGATCTCGGATGAAGAAATGACGAAGTTCGATGTGCTTGGTGCGAGAGTGGAACACAGGATCCTTGGTGAGATGAATGGCACTCTGGTTGTCACACCACAGGGTGGGCGACTGCTGGGGGTAGCCTAACTCAGCGAGGAGAAAGGAGAGCCAGCGTGCCTCTTGAGCAGCCATTGTGCCCGCGTAGAGCTCGGCCTCGCAGGACGACAGGGAGACTGCAGAGGACCGAGTGGAGCGCCAGCTGATGACTCTGCTACCAAGGGTGAAGCATTACCCTTGGGAGGAGCGTCTGTCAGTCTGGTCATCGGCCCATGAGGAGTCTGTGTATCCATCGAGCTTGACTGGAGAGGTACTGTGAGAGTACGACCCCGTTACACCACTTGGCCTTTTCTTATTTCCTTCCCTTTTCACTTCTCTTTTTACCGCATCTCATTTGGTTTCCTATTCTTCCTTTTCCATTAACCTTTGGTTTATCCTGCTATTATCATTATATCACCGACCAGGCTTGGGATGTATTGGTGCGCTCTATCTAGCGTAATCCTGCTGTAATCCCTTAAAGCCAATAGCCTCGCGTGGCTATACGCAGGGTGATTCTATCTTCTAGAAGGGTCTATTCCCTTAGGATAAGATAAACCTGGTTACCTGATGTACTCTGGAAGTATAAAAGCGCCTTGTACTGATCGATAGTGCAACCTTTCCTCGACACATTCGATCCTGTGACACTTGGTAATCAGAGCTTTTCTCACTCGGCCGCGCTCAGCTAAGCAGCAGCAGCGGGGATCCTGCCTCGAAAAACCGCCGGGGGCGACCAATTCGACGCCGATTCTGGTAAGCACCAGCTCCGCGATTTTCGAATTACCCCCTCCGTGCGTGTTTTGAACAGGATGGCAACCTTCGACAACGCCGAGGTTACCCAGCAGCTCTTCGCGCGCATCGCAGCCCTTCAGGAGGAAATGCGAGCAGATCGCGAAGCGTGGCGAAACCAGTTCGAGCGAGTAACTCGACTCGCAGGAGCGCAGCACGAGACGACAACGGCGACGACGCAGCAGTCGCAGCAGTTTCTCGAGGCTCCGAAACCGCGCCCACCTGAGCCGTTCGATCCGAGCGATCGAAACTCCGACGCCCGCAGATGGATCGCCGGGATGGAGATCTACTTCGCAGCCGTCGGATGGAGCTCGCCAGTCTGGGACGGTCAACGTGTACGACTCGCGGCGACACTGATGCGAGGGCCGGCACTCGAGTGGATTGGCGGCAACAGCACCTTCATCCACGGTGAAGCCACGTGGCAGTAGTTCCGCGCCGACCTGCTGAAACGATTCGAGCCGATAAATTCAGGTTTCCTTGCCCGCGAAAAAATTCATCGCCATCGACAGTTCGGGAGTGTAGCACAGTACACGCAGCAGATGGAAGAATTTTATAACAGAATTCCCGACCTGACCGAAGGGGAAAAAGTGCAATCGTACCTCGCAGGGCTGAAGACTGAAGTCAAACGACAGGTGGCAGCGTCAAACTACGCGAGCTACAGTGGCGTCGTTTCGGCCGCGGAGCGCTTCGACATGGTCAACGCCGGAACACGACGGACGCACGTCGGCAGTACGCGACAGGGCGACCGCTCGGCTCACACCACGTTCGCCGACCCGATGGAAGTCGACAGATTCGAGGGGCGGCCACGTCCGAAAAACACCAACTACACGTGTGATTTTTGCGGGGTGCCGGGCCACCGAATCTTCGACTGCAACAAAATGAAGGCCGCACGCGCAGAGTATCGGGCACGCAACAGTGGCGGAAATCTTTCGGCCAATCAGAAGACAAAAAACGGGAGTCGCCAGTGATTGCGGATCTAGCTGGCGAAAATAAAAAGATCCGAAAGCGGCCGCGGGATTCCGGAAAAATCAACTTCGACGAAGCTGATTCGACGCGAGAAGGAGGAAATGATGGGGGAAAATCTCCACCCCACGACCAGTCTTCGCCAGGGAAAATCGCCGAGAAAAAATACGACTCCGCGAAAAAAGACTCTGCCGAGACAGGGAAACTCCTTGAAGACCCAAGAAATTATAAGAATTCGTTAAAGTTATCTTATAAAGATGCTTTAATGAAAACTTATGATGTTCGAGGGGCTAGAGCCTTGGAGAAAATTCGGGAGGGACTCCAAAAGAAGCAGACAGCTGTGGAGATTATACCGGTACCGGACAACTTGGGGACCAAATTAAGGAGTGTGGAAAGAAGCCGAGAACGTGAAGGAGTTGCAGCAGTTCCTAGGCTTCGCTAATTACTACAACAGGTTCGTGCCACAGTATGCAAAACTCGCGGCACCACTCACGAATCTGCTGAAGAAGAACACGTCCTACAAATGGGAGATGAAGCACCAGGAAGCCGTGGAGCAACTGAAACAAGCACTGACATCCGCACCGGTACTCATCTTGCCAGATCCCGAACGTGACTACGTCATTGAAGCAGACGCCAGTGATCAGGCCGTGGGTGCAGTCTTGATGCAAGACCAGGGGAATGGACTGCAACCAATTGCCTACCTCAGCAAGAAACTGCACGGGGCAGAACTCAACTACCCGATACACGACAAAGAGGCTCTTGCTATCGTCATCGCCTTCAAAGCGTGGAGATGCTATCTCGAAGGACGACGAACGACCGTCTACACCGACCACTGCAGCCTGAAATATTTGAAGACACAACCCAACATTTCCAGGCGGCAGGTCCGGTGGATCGACTTCCTCGAGACACACTTCCACTACGACATCGTATACAAGCCCGGCCACAAGAACAAAGCAGACGCTCTCAGCTGGCCTGCACACGTTGCCGCGATTCAGATCGAAGGGATGAATCCACTACTCAAGGGACTCTTCACCCACGGGTACGCCATCGACCCCGAAATTCCATTGGCAGAAAAGCGACATCTGTTACAGTGGGACAATGACATCGCATACCGGAAGGGATCCACAAAAATCTGGGTACCCAATTACCCTCCTTTGCGCCAGTTACTACTCGAAGAATACCACGACGTCCTGTACGCCGGACACTTCGGTAGCAACAAGACGCTCACCGGTATCGCCAAACACTACTACTGGCCCCATATGGCAGACGACGTCCAGAAATTCGTCACCTCGTGTGATACATGTCAGCGGATGAAGAGCAGCAAGCAGAAAAAGGCGGGACTACTGCAGCCTCTTCCTGTCCCAGAACAACCATGGCAAGTGGTTAGCCTGGACTTCATTACCGGGTTACCACCTACCTCCAGCGGTCATGACGCCATCCTTGTCGTCATTGACAAGTTCTCCAAAATGGGACACTTCATCCCGACACACACGACGGCACGCACCGAGGAGACAGCACAGCTCTTCGTTCGTCACATCATCTCACAGCATGGCATCCCAACTACACTCATCTCCGACCGAGACCCCAAGTTCACCAGCAAGTTCTGGAAGGAACTTATGTCTCTGCTCGGCACCAAACTCGCCATGTCATCCGCATACCATCCGCAGACAGACAGACAGACCGAGCGCCTCAACCAAATTGTTGAGCAACTCCTCCGAGCAGCCTGCAAGGACGACATCTCCAAATGGGACTTGCACCTGCCCGTACTCGAGTTTGCTTACAACAATGCCACACATGCCGCTACTGGACAGACGCCGTTCTTCCTCTGCTACGGACGCCACCCACTCACACCACAAAAACCGACAGCATCACCTACAGTCCAATCCGCACATGATTTCATTACAACCATGCATCAACTTTGGGATCGGACCCATAAGCGCCTCCTTGACATTCAAC